GGTGGATGGATGGTTGGATGGATGGATGGATGGATGGGTGGATGGATGGATAGGTGGGTGGATGGATGGATGGTGGGTGGATGGGTGAGTGGATGGATGGATAGACAGATGAATGAATGAAAAGGAAACTAGCACCCAAATCCCGGGAAGACAATGGGAGAATATTAGACTTGCAGGGAAATAGAATTCTCTTGTTCAGAAGAGGGAACCGAGGTGTCAGGGGAGACTTAGCGGGTCTTGTGAGTGCTGAAGGGCTGAATGGTCCTGTGGCTCCTTTAGCTGATCCTGGGGAACAGGTGCGGCCCCAGAGGCCAGGGCCTTTGGGCTCTGAGAGGAGGGATGGGTTTGCAAGAGAGGATTTGGGCTCCAAGCTTCTCCAGGCCTGTGACAGTGGCATCCTGGAGTGGCTAAGGAGACGAGGGGGACCTCAGCAGGGTGGGGTGGGCCCGGTGCACAGCTTGTTGGGGTAGTGGGCATACTTGCGGTTATACGTGCCCAGGTTGTGGCGGAAGCAGAGTGCGGCCCGTTTGTCACATTCGCAGGTCTGCCGCTGGCAAGTCGTTCTACCAGCTGGAGGGGAATGGAAACAGGCCAGAGTCTAGGGTGGAGGCTGGGGGCTCAGGCTCTCAGCCACTGGATGAGAGTGACCCCTGGATGCTCTGTGGTCCAGGTTCCCAGCCCCATCCTCAGCCACCTTCGCACTTCCTGTGGAAGCCCATGCTCAAGGGGATGAGTGGGGGCTGGCTTACCACCCTGGGTTTTCCCTTCCTCTCCAAGCCTGCTCACATCACATGATATTAGCCCTCTCCTGCCCTGACAGGATGCTGGTTTCACAACCTCTTTCCTTCCTCCTACCAGGGCCTTAGCAGCCCTCCCCTATGTGTTGAGGTCGTAGGGTGGCCAGTATCCAGGCTGGAGGTTATTAGACTAAGGCAGGGGCCTCCTTCTCAAGGCTTCAGCCTGTCTCTCTCAGAATAGATAGAACCTGCACCTAGCCTGGGCATCAGAGCCAGCAGGCATCATCATGGCAGGCGCCGGTTGCCTCGCAGCCTTACTTTGTGAGGGTCTCTTTCTGCTCTTCAGTCCCTAGGAACCCACCTCCCTGTCTGGAAGGGTCTGGCGCCTCTCTTCCCCCTCAGAGATGGGCATTTTCCTTCATGATTCTGCCTACACCTGCTAGTTCAGCAGGACCGAGGACGCATGCACTTGAAGTCTTGACAGTGGACAGCTGGGGAGATGGGCGTGGTTATCTCAGCGCAATAGGCAAGAAGTCACATGGGCTTTCCAGGGCTCATTCCCTTGGTCAAAGTACCGTGGAGGGCTATGTCCCATCCACCTGACTCCTCCCCTAACGTCCTCAGTGCCAAGGACTTGATGCAGCTGCCCTGCTGAGGGATCCCCTACAGTTGGGAGGCGACCCTAGCCAAATCTGCCTCAGTGGTGCTGGTCTTGGCTAACACTTCGGCACGGACCCCTGAGTTCTGGTCTGAGCCAGTGCCTCAAACTGCGTGGGTCCTTCCCTGCCTCCCACACCCACCAGGCCCTACCCTCCTTCAGGGTTCCTGACTTCACACTGGGAGGAAAGTTTGATTCTCTGATTTGAGAGCCCTCTGGACAGCCTTGCTTTTGGCTTTTTTCCCAGCTGGGGCCCAGAGGAAAGCTGATCGTGCCAAATGGGCACTGAACTTGGCAAAGTGAAGGAGGTGGGTCCAGCTCAGCAGCCCCGCGGGGGGCAAACAACTTGTGAGAATAGGCCTGCTGTTCAGCCAGAGCCCCTCCTGGCCCCTTCTCGGGGAGGGTTGTGTGAATCCAGCTCTGGGTATGGCTCAGTTCAGTCCCTGATGCTCAGTCCCCAGAGGCTGAGGCAGGGCAAGGGCTGCATTGGTGGGTCACAGGGCTGTGGGGCCCAGATGCCTAGTAAGAATCGGAACAGCTGGACAAGCATTGTCACCCTTACGTGATGATGGGAAGCCTACTGGGTCTGGCCCCATGACAAGGGCCAAGGTCACCAGCTGGAGGGACTCCTGCCTACTCAGTGCCTGGCTCATTCCAGGGTTGGCCACCTACCACAGAAGATGGTGTCTCGACCAATCGCGAAGAGGTACTTTTCCAGCTTGGGCTCACAGCCCAGCTTCTCCACACGTCCATAGCAACAGTCATGCGTGTGGCAGCACCTGCGGGGTCAGAGTTAACCTGGAGGAACTGGGCTGGGCTGGGCTGGAGGCAGAAGCGACTGGGACATCCCCAGGACTCAGAGGGGATGAAAGTGCCCCAGGACCTCCTTCCTCCCCGGCTGCTTCCCCACCTCCTCTCCCTCCTCCTCCCAGGTCCTCCCGCTCACCAATCAGTCTGGTCCACTGGCCAGTTGGAGCCACCTACACCACAGTAGCAGCCATAGTCATTGTACTGCAGCGCAGACTTCCCCGTCATTCTCTCGATCATCACTCCAAACTGGACCAGGTTCCCGCTAGCCAGGGATGCTACAGCAGAGGAGGCAGGGACCACAAGGTACTTCAGGGCCAGTGAGCATCACCCGCCTGCCTCTGCCGCCCTAGTGCTAGGACTCAAGGCGTGCACCACCATAGCCTGGCTGGTATCAGATATCTTTATTATCTCCCATCTTACTTTTTTGAGACGGAATCTCTCAAAAAAAAAAAAACCAAAAACAAACACAAACAAACAAACAAAAACCTGGCCGATTTGGTTAGACTGGCTAGACAGCAAGCCGGAAGATCCGCCTATCTCTGTGCCCCAGCAACGGGGTTACAGATGTGTGCCACAACGCCTAGCTTTTTGTGAGTCTTGGGGATTTGAACTCAGGTCCTCGTGCTTGTCTGTCTTTGCAATCTCCTGCCCACCTGGTGCTCCTCACTCCTTTCTGCCTGCTCATGCTGTGCAGACCTCTCCACGGACTCTTAATCTTTCTCAGAAAAATCTTCATTTCCCCAGACCTCAGCCCTGTCTCCCCAGCAGCACTTGGTTCCCCACAAAGATCTCCTCACGCACCCCTGCGTCTGCTTCCCAGCTGATTCTGTGGACCTCCTCAGATTCCTTCAGACCCTTCTGATTCAGCTGTGGGGAGGTGCCCATTCGAAGCGGGGATGCCAAAGCCCCACTCCCTTCCCCTCTACGGTCTCCTCAGCCCCCCCCCCCCTCTTTCCCAATCACTGCTGGCTCAGGCAGCTCACATTCCAGGGTCACCGGGTGGCCTCTAGCACTTGGTACCCATGATGCCCTGTGCAGGGCCATGCTCAGGCATCCAGAGAGCTTCCTATTGCCAGATGGGGCAGGATGCAGCGGGGAGGTCATGAAGGTCACTTACCCAGGAGGCAAAGGAAGGCCAGGGCAAGGGGCGGTTTCATCCTGGGGGAGGTAAGCAGGGGGCACAGGAGCCTGCTGTGGTGGGAGGAAGTGAGCAGGGCCTCTGATCTCAGGCCACCTCCCAATTAGTTAAATACACAGGTCCTGCCCACTCCCCCATCATTAACCCTTGAGTGCCCAGTGATGCAATAATTCTTCCAGCTTTGACACTTTGGCTGAGTTCCCAGGGGAGGGGCCAGCTAGAGTCCTTGGGACTCTGCCTCCAAGGGGGTGTGGGAACAGGGGTGGGGCAGTCTTGGGGCCATCTTTCCTCCTGCCCATCTCCCGAACTCCCACGTTTCAAATTTACAATCCTTGCTCCCAGTGGCTGTGCCTTGTTTTCCCAAGCTTAATATTGCACCCATTCTCTTTAAACCAACTCAGTGGATGAGACCCAGTGTGGCAGGTGGGGGTGGGGGGGGGGGGGGGGGGGGGGTGGGGCACTGAAGCCCTCACAGGGCCAAGCCCCAAGTCTGTCCCATTTCCAAGGCAGAACTGCCCCTTCCCATTCTTCCCCGACTGAGATAACTTGACCATCGCTTCCAGTCAACACTCAGGGCCCCTGACCACAAGGCCTTGGGCAGGTCTTTTCCCTCACTTGGGTCATCAATATTCCTGTCTATGCTACAGAGACAGAGGTATCTGCCTCACCTCCTTCATGGGAACTGGCCCTCACTGAGCATGTGCGGGGTCCCAGGTGACTCACTCACAAACAAGGCCAAAGCAATGAAGGGCTTAGGCTTCCATGGTTCCCCTGTTACAGAGTGGGGAACAGATCCATACACCTCAGTAAATGAGGAGCCACAATATGGACCCAGGCAGTTCTGAAGGACTTACCCAGGGTCAGCTTAGCCCCCTGCGGGGAGCACAGTGCCTTTCAGGCCACCACTTAGTGTAAAACCAGAGGATTGAGTGTAACACAGCCCGCACTAAGTCTGACTTTATATTACCACAGTTATAAAGTAACTTCCTATGTTCGATTTTTTTCTTTCAGTCTGAGGACATGGCTGGGGCACGTGGCTGAAGCACTTTCTTCCCAACTTCAAGCCTCAGTTGCTTGAGGCTGCTCAGCTGTCTAAAGTCTGTCTTCTCTCCCTGGTCTTGGTTGGGCCTCATGATAAGGAATCCAGACACCCTGGGCCAGAGGCCTCAGTCTCTGGGGAGTTTCTCCACAGAGTCAGGAGGAGGGGGCTCCCTGGGCTGTGTGATTTGGGATGACAGGTTTGAACACAGAAAGGAAGCCCTGTAAATAAGACTGTGCACAGGGCCTCGGCCCCACCCCCAGCCCCGCCCATCACTTCCTGCTACTTACTATCCCCACCCCCACCCTGGGCCCCTGGGTGCTGGGAGCTCTGTCCCCATTGCAGAGGCCACGGGGACCAGAGGTGAGTCCAGCTGCCTGGGACACTCTGCAGCTGTGAGTGAGTCACCGCCTACTCAGAGAGGTCCTTTTTCTTGGCATTTCCTTTTGATTTTAATGAGGGCTGTCTTGGCAGCCCCTGGCTTCTGGCCTGGGTCATGAGGCCTCAAACTGTGAGTCATAAGAGCTTCCTTCTAACAACAGGGCAACATGGCTTTCGTCCCTGTCTGGGAAGCGTGGTCTCCGGCAGGGTCAGAGCAGAGGAAGAAGGGAAGAAGAGTTGCTTTTGGGGTCCATTTTGAATCCTGGCCCAGACAAGCTGGGGGACCCTGAAAGTTCCTGTAGGTCTGTAGCTGTGGTGAAGGGATCTAGGCTGCCTTCCTGGAGGAGGCACCCCGCTGAAGTGCTACGCTGGCGAAGGCTGGACTCGGAGTAGTTCAGACATTCTGGACGGGGTTGGTGCTTGGGCCTCACACCTCTGGCACAATGCGGCAGAAATTACAGCAAAGCCAGGACTTGAATGATGGTACCTTTGCTTAGGGCTTGAATGACATTGGCCCAGCTTCATCATCTATAAAAATGGAAATAATAAGACTGATCTTTCAGGGCTATAAGCCAGCTGAAAAGGAAATGAGACAAAATGACATTTTATAGGCAGCTGTGTCCTTCAGGGGAACCCATCCATATTGGGTCCCTCTTTCTCATCCCTCTTTCTTGCCCCCTCTCCTGAGTCCAGAGGAGGCAGCTGCTGTGGGGAGCTGAAGGCACTCAGTCAACCTGAGAAAGGCACGCAGGCAGTCTGTGTGTCCAGTGTTTCCATGGAACCACTGTAGCTGCTTGACGGAGTGTGGGGAGGGTGAAGGGATAGGGTGATGGATGGAGGTGTTGGCTGGAAGGTCAGGGTAGAGATGTTGAGGGGATAAAGAACTCAGACCCTTAGCACCGATTCTTGCTCTTGGTATAAATCTGCATCTTTGTTGGGGCTGGAAATGTAGCCTCGTTGGTACAATGCTTGCCTGGTGTATGTGAAGCCCTAGCTTTGATTACCTGTTCTGTATGAGCTGGGTGTTTGGGGGGGTACATTAGGAACCCCAGCACTCAGAAGGCAAAGGCAGGATGATCCAAAGCTGGCGTTTATCTTTGGGTGTCTAGGAGTTGAAGCCCAGCTCGGGCTACAAGTCTGAGACGGCTCAGTTGGCAGGAGAGCTTGCTGCAGAAGCATGAGGACCCGGGTTCAAGTCCCCAGCATCCACATAGAAAATCAAGTGTGGCTATACTTGCCTTTAATCTCAGTGCTCTGGGAGGCAGAGACAGGAGGATTGCTGGAGCTTGCCTGCTGCAGCCTGGCTCCAGGTTCAGTGAGAGAGCCTGTTTCAAGGGAGTAAGAAAAAGAGTGATGGAGCTGGCACTTGATGTCTTCCTCTGGACTCCTCAAGAACTTTCACTGATGTGTATACCTGCAAGTACATGTGCACAGCACACACACACACACACACACACACACACACACACACACACAGATGCACACACATACACATACACACAGAGATGCACACACACACAGATGCACTCATGCACACATACACACACCTCTTTTAGCTCAAAAGTCAATGCAATCATCCTCATCAAATCAAAGGCTACAGTTTACTGATTTCCTACAGAGCAGTGAGCACGGTGCTGCAAGCCCACTCTCTGCCGCAGGCTTCTGATGTCTCCTAGAGTCTTAAGGACCCTGTGGAGCCCTCTGAACAAAGTGACTGTGTTAGTCACTTTTCTGGTTGTTATGTCAAAATATCTGACCAAAGAAGTTTAAGGGGGAAGGGTCTCTTCTGGCTCGCAGTTCGAGGGTGCACAGTCCATTGCGGCAGGAAGGCATGGGGCACGAGCGTGAAGCAACTGCTCACATGGCATCCTCAGTCAGGAAGCAGAGAGAAATGAGGCTGATTCTCAGCTTGTGTTCTCCTTTCTGTTTATTCCAGACCTTGGGATGATGATGGCCTCCCTCCTAGTTAGAGCTTTCCGGAAGTTTCTTCTGAGAGTACCCAGAAGGGTTTCCATGGCGACCATAAATCCTGTCAAGGTGATGATGAAGATGAACCATTAGCAGCACGGTAACCTTATCAACGTTTCTTCAGTCAGTAAATTAAACTGAGAGCCTACTCTGTGCTGGGGACACACCAGAGAGTAGAAGCAAGGGGAGTTCCCTGCTAGTTACAGCCAGAGAATATTCTGGAAGTACAGGAACCTTCAGGCCTGCTTGGATCATGGAGCACATTCTATATCCACTTCTGTCCTTTCTCTCCTGTTCCTTCTCTGCATTATTCTTGTGTTTAAGCTGACTTCTATGGTTGGAAGATGGTCGCCTGTGTTAAAGGGCCTCCTACTTCCTCCTCTCCATTGGAGACCACAAAGACCGACCTCCAGTCCTCAGAAGTCTTTGGCTTTGTTCTGTGAACTCAACCTGACGCCATCCTCATTGCAATGGGCAGAGTATGAAAGCTGGTTGACTTGTCCCTCAGGGTCCATCTGGAGTTATATGTGGTCGTGAACTATCCAATGTGAGTGTTGGGACCCAAACACTCTCAACCACCAAGCTAGTTCTCCAGTTCCCCCGGAGACATTTTCTGCAAGTCCCAAGTTCCAATTCACATATCACTCAAAGAGTCAATATACCAAGAATGGCTCAGGCAGCATCCTGCCAATCAAACCCCTACAAGTCTGAATTCTTTTATCTGAAGAGAAATGGCGAGAAGTGCCAGCAGGAGGCGGTGTAAACGCTGGGCTAGTGAGCTCAGTGGTAGAGCACTTTCCTGACAGGTTACCAGTCCTGGGCTTTGGAGTCCCCACTACCAAAACAAAGGCAGTAGAAGAGGGGGCTGGAGAGAGGGCTCAACAGTTAAGAGGATTTGCTGTTCTTCTAGAGAACCCAAATTTGGTTCCCATCCCAGAAACATCTTGTATTGCTCACAACCACCTGCAATTTCAGATTGGACGATGACCAAAGACACCGTTCTGGAGAGTGGACAATAGTCAAAGAGACCACTGTCCTGACCTACATGCTATTTTCTTCTCCTTAGGGAATTTATTTTTAATTACATGCATATGTCTATGTACGAGTATATATGTTCTGTGGGGGGCTATGTACAGGGTGCAGTGCCTATAGTGGCTAGAAGAGGGCGGCAGATCCCCTGGGGCTAGAATTATGGGAGTTTGTGAATTGATAGGTGTAGGTGCTGGAAACCAAACTCAGGTTTTCTGCAAGAACAGCGAGCTCTCTTATCTGGGACCCAAAGTCACTAGCATAGGCCTGCCTCCTGAGCAGTGTTTTCTCTCTTGGTGATTGACAAGCCCATTTGGGTTAACTCTTAAGGGAGGGGACAATGACCCGGCCCTGTTCTTCATCTAAAAGCCTCCTGCAAAGTGGTAACCTCGGGATCTTCCTGACAGTTAAGAAAGTCTCCACCCGGGATCATACAGCTCAGATTCCATTCTTCTGATAAGAAAACCACACCACAGAACATATTTATTCAAATTAAAGGAAGACAGAAATTAAATAAACAGAAAAAACAGCAAGTCATGGGACTGGGTGATGGTTCAGAGGTCAAACTGATTGCTGAGCAATCATAGGGACCAGAGTTTGGTTCCCTAGCACTTTCTTACAAACAGACATGGAGCCATTTGTCTGTAACCCCAGCACTAGGGATGGAGAGATAGGTGAATTCCAGGGCTGGCAGGCCAGCCGGTCTAGCTGAACTGGTGAGCTCCAGGTTCACTGAGAGACTGACCCTGTCTCAAAAATTGAGGTGGAAGAACTATTGAAGGAAACATCACAACTATAGTATGTAAGCCACTTGTTTGTTCCTGGCTGCTCAGCCCCAAACCACACAGAAACTGTATAATTAAATCCCTACTTGGCCCATTAGCTCTAGCTTCTTACTGGCTAACTCTTGCTTCTTATTTTAATCCATTTCTAGTAATCTGTGTATTGCCACATGTCTGTGCCTTACTGGCAAGTTTCCATCCTGCGTTTGTCTTTGGCAGGGCTACATGGCTTCTGACTGACCCCCGCCTTCTTTTCTCCCAGCATTCAGTTTAGTTTTTCCCACCTAGCTCTGTTCTGCCCTGCTCTGCTATAGGCTCAAAGCAGTTTCTTTATTCACCAATGGTATTCACAGCATACAGAGGGGAATCCCACATCACACGACATCAACTCTGGCCTCTATGCAAGATGGCACAGTTAGCATGTGTGTGCAAGTGCCTGCGCATGTGAGTGTGTGTGTGTGTGTGTGCATGTGTGTATGCACACACATGAAGTTAGGACTTCCTAGGATGCTATGGTCTTCCCTGAATGGGTCTCAGCAAAGCCCTGCTGCCTTCTTTCCTCCTCTTGTCTGGTATGTAATCAGTAGCTACCCTTTCACACAGGATTTTAAATTTCAAGGTAACTGTCATGAACATGGTCCACTGGAAACATAGATGGGTACATCTGTATCTTTCCATAATGTCTGAATTTATCGAATGTGCTGGTTTCATTGGCTGTGGCTTATCAAGTAGTCCTGATGTCCCTAGAAAGCATGACTGTTGCAATCACAGGTCCTTTTTATTACAATCCTGGTAACTAATATTAACTCAGAACACACAGTATATGCTACACATTTGAACATGTGTGTACGCATGCGTTTAGAAATAGGCGTATTATGTATATGTTATATATACACATACATGTGTTACAGAAAGAGGCCTTACTGGAGGCAGAGGCTGAGAGCCGCTGCAGGAGGTTGATGAATATTAACATGTCTAAGTGGAGAACTTCAGGGAACTAGGCAGAGTTGACCTGGGGGTCCCGAGTTGCTGGGACTGACCAAACCTGATCAACAGGGTGGGAGCATGGGGGCAAGGTGCGACTTTGTCTGGGTGGATAGGGATAGACGGATGAACATACAGATGGCAGTTGAGATCAGACCACATCAAGCATTGGGTACCCACAGTCTGTGCTGAGCTGAAACCCCTGAGACAGTTGGAGGTTCCCTGTCTATTGGTCCTTTGACACCATACACACACACACACACACACACACACACACACACACACACACACACACCAGGAAGCTGGATGACAGGTTGGCAGAGCCATTGTTATTGTAGTATTAGGTGTTCTTCTTTCTATGGGGTCCGGAAGAGGGTGTCGTGCCCTCTATTGGTTTCGTGTGTTTGGTCAGTTTCTCCTACGGGTTTAATACATTCTCATTCCCATGTGTTCTTAATAAACTTTGGTGAGTGTATAGTTGGGTGTAGTGATATTTCGTTTGTATTTTAATAAATAAAGCTTGCCTGGAGATCAGAGAGTAAAACAGTCCCACTGATCAACTTTACAGACCAGGCAGTGGTGACACACACCTTTAATCCAAATAACCACACTAGTTTGCCATAGAAACTGAGCAGTGCATGCCTTTAATCCCAGTCCTGGAGAAGAATATAAAACGAGAGGAAACAGCTCTCAGACACAGTCTCATTCTGAGATTCCTGGAGGCAGGATTGCCATTTCGAACTGAGGTAGAGGTAGGAGCCAGTGGCTTGCTGTTTTGCTTTTCTGACTTTAAGGTTGAACCCCAACTTCTGTCTCTGGGTTTTTATTAATCGTGCTGCAGGTGGGGCTTTCTTAACCTTTGGAAACAAGTTATTATCTGTCAATGTCTCCCGGGTGGTGCTGAACAGGGTGGTGTCTACATGCCCACAACACAGTCACTTGTTCCTGGATTCTTGCTCAAATTGGAACTAAATGCTGCCCAACACCCATTCTTCCACTCAGTATGAATGAACTGAGAACAGGACCCACTGTGTCTCCACGGAGCTCAGTGGTGACATGCCTTCCCTCCTTTCACATGGCAGGCCTTAGGAAAAGCAAACTCTAATGAGAAGCGATTACAGCATTTCCCCTTAGGGTGAGTGGCAGCCCTCTTCTGGTCCTTTCAGGTACTGTATGTAGGTGGTGCACATACATACACTCAGGGCAACACACATGAATATATAATAAAGATAAGGAATAAATTAGTTGGATGAGGTGACATGCTCTTTCAGATCTGGAAGATGGACTATGACTTTCATTAAGAAGCTTCCTAAATGGAGAGTAAAAATAAAATGGGCAAAGAAATACCTGGAAGTGGCCACAGTATAGGAAACACTATGTAAGCTTCCATAGCAATGCAACATAACTTTGTATGTTGCAACTTTGAAAATAAACTAAATTCCCTTAAATCAAGGGGTGTTGAAAGCAAAATCTAACTATTGCTTTGAAGATCACAGATAGAGAGTCGTATCCATGATGAACAAAGTCTCCACAAACCAAGGTGGAGGCTTGAGGCCTATTGGTTAAACCCACAGGCACAAACCCAAAGACCACAGTCACTCTGCAATGGTGAAGGACACATGGCAGCCTTAGAGAGTACCCATAACCAAGGGCTCACTGTGCTCATGAACAGCTGCCACAGGAGAAAGGACACCTGACAAAAGATGCAGAAATGGGACCCCAAAATGTGTTAGTGGAAGAAGAAAATAAAAAGAAAATTGCAAATTGTTTTTTATTTTTAAGATGTACCTGGCCCCTGTGACTTCACTGGAGACTTTTTCAAATGTTGGGAAGAGAGGGAAACTGGAAGCAGGCATTCATGCTGTAGCAAGAGATGCATGGTTATTGTTTTCATTTCATTTTATTTTTTTTAATTTTATGTGTTTGTGTTGTTTTGAATCCGGGTCTCATGCCTCCCAGACTGTCCTAGGACTCAATATATCAATAGGGATGACTTTGAACTTCTGGTCCTCCTGTCCTGAGTCCTGGGATCACAACTGTGCACCACCATGCCCAGTTTTATAGGGTGCTGGGAATCAAACCCAGGGCTTTGTGCTTGTCAGGCACATCCGCAACCCGAGGACGAGTGTTCTTCTGTGGGAGCACTTATGCCCTTCTTTGGGAGCACTTGCGCCCTTCTGTGGGAGCACTTACGCCCTTCTGTGGGAACACTTATGCCCTGCTCATGTTGTTTCCTTCTGATGCGTAGACCATCCACTGGTGTAACTCCTCATGGGTTCCCACTACCTATGCCCTTATTCCTTCCTGATCCTTCCATGAGGAACACATTTGGCAGAGGACTCTGGGTATGCCCAGCACATCCTCTTTCTCCTTGTTAGCACAGCGTTGCCTACCTGCAGAAGGCTCTTCCGTTTGGGGTTGTGTGGCCAGCTTAGCTGGAGAGCTCTCTCACACTCTGGTGGCTCAGCAGTGTTCCTGGCCGGGCTGGTTAGTCATCTAATTCTAAGGAAGTGGAATTAGGAAGTTTACAGCTACCTCCTCCAATTTAGCTTCAGTCAAGACTTTTTGAAGTCGGGACTAATTTGATCGCTACCCGGCTGACTCACCTGTCTCTCAATTGGTCCAAATCTAGACAGGGAAGCAGGGTGTAATTCTTCTCTGACCTTGTCTCCGAGCCCCTGAGCCAATGACTGATCTGGGAACTTAATAAACAAGGAGGCGAACCAGAAAAGCCAAGGGTAAGTGGTATTTGAGGTAAGCTTCCAAGACGATCTCGGGAGCCATAGCAGGGTCACAGGGAGGGGCATAGCAAATGGGAGTGACAGGGCCTGGGCACAGCATGGACTTCACAGGCTTTAGTATTTAGGTCACTGCATCTTATCCTTGAACCACACAGAACTGGCCTGGGCACAGGCTGGGGGGAGAGGGGAGAACTGAAGTTGAGGAAGACAGCTCAAGGAGTAAGGACCAACTGCTTCTGGTCCTTAGCAAACCTTCTGTCTGCAAACCCCGCAGCCGCCACTGGGGGCGGGGCAATAGCTTCAGGTCAGGGCTTTAAGGTCAACTAAATTCCTGTGTGCTTATAAAAGAACATCGCTGCCCAAAATGTGGTGGGGATTTTATTAAGGATGTCCATTCTGGTCCATTCGGTCTGAACTGAGGACTAAGATGTGGGCATACTATGGGTACCACAGTAGCTCCCTCCCCAAGACTATCAAAAAGATAGTTTTTGATTCTCACTGACTTTTGCGCTGACTCACCTTTGATGTAGGGGCACCTCTTAACTTCATGGGCTGCTTAACCACACTGCCAGCCTTCACCCAGCCACATCAGGAGCATCCTCCCAGTTGCCACATACATCTGCTTCAGATGTTTCCAAGTGTCCCCCAGTGCAGCTAGCCACCCCCAATTGAGAACAATGCTCTAGAGTTATCTTGGGGGCCACTCAACACAATGGGAATGGACTGACATCTAGGGAGCCATCTAAGCCTGTCCTCAATTCTAGTAGAAATCTGAGGCGAGCTCTGGGGCTGGAGAGATGGTTCAGCAGGCCAGAGAGCTTGTGGTTCAGTCACAAGGACACCGATGCCTCACAATCCCCTGTAACTCTAGTTCCAAGGGACCCGACACCTTCTTGAGCACCCTCATGCACATGTGTTCATACATGCATGCATGTATCCATCCAGCTCATACATGCATGCACGTATCCATCCATCCATGTACACACATACATGAATAATTTTTTAAAAGGTTGGTTCTGGATATCTTGCTTACAGAAGATGGATCACAAGTAATTGCCAGATTCCACCATGGAAGGTTAAAAAAAAGTTATGGATGTTCTCTGTATAAATATAATGTGTCATCTGGCGTATATTGAGACACAGGAATTAATGCCATTAAGTTCGGTTCTGGTTGACTTGAGGGTCAGGAAGTGAAAACAGCCAGTGTCATACGATTCTGCCTCTAAGATCCAGATTGCACGGGGAGTTTAAAAAGAGACCAGAAAGACTTGAGAAGCGTGACTCAGTATACTTATTTTTTTTTCCCCTAAAAAAAGAATCTGAACAGGAACAGTGAATGAGGGAAAATGAAGTAAATACAGGAAGACAGGAAAAGAGATTCACACGGTCCCCTACCAGCAGAGTCAACATCAGCTGCTGGGCTGGTTCATCCTGTCAACTCCATCACCATGGAAACACATCTTCAGGGAGCTTAGGAGAGATCGTTTAGACCGGCTGAGGTGGAAGACCCACCCTCCATGTGGGCGGTGCCATTCCCTAGGCCGGGGGTCCCAACGACTACAGAGGAGGAAGTCAGCTGAGCATCAGCATCCCTCTCTCTGCTTCCTGCCTATGGACCGGATGTGACCAGCTGCCTCATGCTCCGGTGGTGACCATGCTTACCCCACCACGATGGACTGTGTCCCCTGGTCCTTAACTTGCTTTTGGGAAGTGTTTTGCCACAGCAATGAAACTAGTAAGCCCAGGGACCTAGCAGAAATGTGGATTCTTAGGCCCCACCCAGACCTGCTGAATCAGAACCTCTGTAAACCGGGCCCCGGAAGTAAAATTTACTGGCTCGTCATGGTGATTCCGATGCTTGCCTAAGTGTCACGACCACACTGCCTTAAGAGAAATGTGGGTGCACTAGGAGTGACAAGAAGCAAGAGGAAACAATGCTTTCTGTGTGTGCATGTATGTGTGTGTGTGTGAGAGAGAGAGACAGAAACAGAGAGCGTGTATGCGCCTCGTAAACCTGTATAGAGGGCAGGGATCGATAATGAGCTATCTTCCTCAATTGCTTTGCCATCTTACATGTTTGTTTGTTTGTTTTTTCAAGTCAGGATTTCTCTGTGTAGCAGCCCTAGCTGTCCTGGAACTTGCTCTGTAGGTCAGGCTGGCCTCAAACTCACAAAGATCCTCCTGTCTTTGTCTCTGAGCACTGGGATTAAAGGTGTGCGCCACCACTGCCTGGCTTGCCATCCTATTTTTTGCGAGAGTGTCTCTCATTGATCCTGGAGCTCACTTTTTTGACTAGACTAGCAGGCCAGCAAGCCCTGGACTATCCCTGTCTCTGTCCCTCAGGGCTGGGATTACGGATGCACACTGCCGCATCCCTATTGAATGTGGATGCTGGGCATCCGAGCTCAGTTTCTCAGGCTTGTGTGGCAAGAATTTTACTCATTGGACCATCTCCAAAGTCCCTAAAAGGAGAACCAAAAAGTCAGACATGCAGCATCCTCTAGCCGAGGCTGAGGCCATGAGAAGCTGGGGAGGATAAACGGAATCACAATCCTTGGGCTTTTAGTTTGCCCCTCATTAGATCTTTCATTTCTGTCTGCATCCTGTCCCCAGAGACTGCCCCCTGTGGCTGCATTTTCAGGATTCCTTGATACCAGATGATGGTTATTCTCCAGGGCCCATGCCCGCAAGGGACGGCTGTCTCACTGGATAGCTTATGTCCTTTCATGAAGGGTTCCAGCCCTTGGGTCCCTGTCCTCCCTACTGGCGGTGGTCTCTTTTTCTTGACGTTTTTGGGGACAGTAATATTGGTCTCCATATTTCACATTCCCTGCGCCATCCTGTCCTTACTCAGTACCTTTTTTGAATCTCCTTGAACTGCCCAGTTTGAAGGGACACCTCTTTCCCCTGGTGACATTGAATTATTTGCACCCACCAACCGAGAAGAGACTTCTCGCTCTGGGAAAGTCATCGGGCTGCTGTTTCCAAGGTCAGAAGGGCCACACGTTGTCACCCCTCCCCCCCCCCCACCTCTCTGATCCATCTTCACAATTCTTTCCTTCTAGAACCGCACACTCCCCACCCCCTAGGGCTGCCCTCCTGGCTCCCGCTCCCTCGCTCATCCCCGCCCTCCAGCTCTTCTAACCTTCCTCCTCCCAGCCACTCCCCACTATCTTTGGACCCTGTCTCTTCATTCAAAGTTTCCTGGAGACATCCATCCCTCACAGCCTTAAACACCACCAAAAGTCTGGGAGCTGGCCACTCAGACCTGCCCTCAGCCCGGCTAACCTGAGATGCAGTTACCTCTATAGTAAGCATCTTATAACACGATTAAGCCACCCTCCCGGCCCGCCCTGCTGGCAGCACTGCTGACGCCCAGTTGCTTGATTGAGAACCTTAGAGCCGTCCTGAACACCCATCTCTGCCTCACACCCTGTATCCAATCGTCAACAGGTACCATTGGCGTGGCCACAAGTCAAAAGGACGGCAATTTAGTTTAAAGCTCTTAATTGACCCCATTAGGGATTCTAGAACAAGGCACTAAACTGTTCTAGAAAACAGAATGAGAGTCTCAGGGGCTGAGCAGAGAAGGCCAAGTTTGTAGACAGGACAGCAGAAAGGGGACGGGATGGAAATATAAAAACAAAAACAAAAACAAAACAAAAAAAACCTCATTGGTTGATACCAGGCAAGGTTAAGTCACTTTTAGTGGAGGGAGCCTTATGATTCTGCTGGCTGGACTGGTCTATCTGGGAGATTTGGCTGGCATTTCTATCCTCATTTAATTTTTAATGAATTTGTTAAGTTTTTAAAAAATTTTTAATCACACATACACATGCATATCTGCGTGTATGTGCACAAATGCAGTGCTCTGGGAGGCCAGAAGGAGGCATAGGTTTCCCTGGAGCTGGAGTGTGAGCAGCCTGATGTGGAAGCTGAGACCCAAACCCAGGTCCTCTGCAAGAACAACGAATTCTCTTAACTGTTGGGCCATTTCTCTAGCCCCATTTCTTAAGCATTCTTAAAAAATTACCTGTATATTTATTTATTTGTTTGTTTGTGCATGTGGATATGTGTGTGCCTCCGTGCACGTGCGGAAGTCAGAGGACACTTGCCAGGTCGGTTTCTCCTTCCATCACGTGGGCCTCAGGGGTTGGACTCAGGCTTCATGTTGGGAATATTGGTTTAAGATGTGTTATGTTTGTTTATGCTCTGGAACATTTGTTTAACGATGCAAAGATGTGCTGCATTCTTTTAGGCTGCATTTGTTTAACTCTGTGAAGCTGTGTGGTCTGTCTAAAACACCGGATTGTTCTAATAGAGAAAGGCAAAAGCCCAGAGGTAGAGGTAGACGGGATAATTTAAGTTAGAAAACCTGGCTAAAAACAAGCCAAGCCAAGGCCGGGCATTCCTAAGTAAGAATAAGTCTCCGGGTATTTATTTGGGATCTGGATAGAGGACCCCCAAAGAGTAAATAAAAGACAAAAAACCAGCAACAACCCCAGTTGCAGGCCTGACCGCAAACACCTGTCCCCTCTGAGCCATCTCCTCTGCCCTGTCCTCACTTCTCAGAAGGCCAGAGAACTCACTGTGGAACTTTGGCGTGGCCGATCTCATTTTGGTTTGAACCTGGTCTGTTGCGGCCAGGGCAGAAGCCTAAACAATGGTGTCCTGTGAGATCACACACTGCTTTCAGAGTTTGCCCAGAAACTGGCCACGGCCCTCTGCCTTCACAGCTACCTCCTTGTGGGAACTGCCCTGTCATTCCCCTGTGTGACAGGTCACAATCGTGTTGCACTGTCTTGAGCTACACAAGGGGTGTGTTACTGGCGGATATTCAGTGTGGTGGGCACCTGCCAGGAGTTGAGGTTTTTTGGGTCTCAGAACAAGGATGATCAGGGCATGTGGGTCACAGTAGAAATGGAGATGGCTTATTAAAAAATAGTAAGGCTGAACCAGGTAGTGGTGGCACACGCCTTTAATCCTGGCACTCAGGAGGCAGAGGTAGGCAGATCTCTGTGAATTGGAGGCCAGTGTCATCTACATAGCTAGTTCCAGGACAGCCAGGGCTACACAGGAAAACCCTGTCTGGAAAAAACAAAACAAAAGGTTTCATTTATTTGCTCTCTGAGTTCAAGGCCAACTTGGTGTACATAGTAAATCCTTATTTCAAAACATTTATTCATTTGTGTGTGCTTGTGTGTACATGTGTATGTGCGCATGTGTGCATGTGTGTTGTGCTCGCACACACATGTGCATGGCACAACGGCTGTATAGAGGTCAGAGGACAGCTTGCAGGAGTCATTTCTCTCCTTGTACCATATGGGTGCTAGGGGTTGATTTCAGGTTATGTGGCTTGGCGGCAAGTTCTTTTAACTGCTGAGCCATCTCCCAGGCTCCTTAGCTGCTTTCCTTCTCCCCCTCCCTCCTTTTCTTCCTCCCTTCCTCTCCTCTTCTTCCTCCTCTTCTCTCCTTCTCCTCCTACCCCTCCTCTTCTCTCCTTGTTCTCCTCCTCTTCTCCTCTTCTTCTTCACTCAAATAACTACTAAAATATTTAGGTTGCCAAGAACTGTGGGTCTCCTAAACTCTTCTGAGAGGATCCAGGACGCTCTTGGTACAGGGGACTCAGTGTGCTTCCCCGGCCATTGCCAACTGGCTTTTCCCCTGTGTCCCTTCAGTGGTAGGCTGGAAAGCTGACTTCTTTCTTGGAAGCTTTTCCACCAAGGACCTCCTCTGGCATCAACTATCCATCAGGTACGGGCACATCTCTGTCTTCTTGGCCTTTCAGGCCTTTCCAACCAACAACTACTGTGTATGTATGTCAGTCTGTCTTCGTTCCCGGTGACATATTAACAAATTATTACAAGATTGATGGTTTAAAATAATGCCTGTTAATTCTCTCAAAGCAGCAGAGGTCAGAAGTCCATGATCAGCTTTGCTGTGTATAAACCAAGGTATGGGCAGGACCCCACCTCCTCAGGAGGCTCTGGGAGTGATGTGGGATTCCCCTCTGTATGCTGTGAGTATGTTTTATTACCATTGGTTAATAAAGAAGCTGATTCAGTCTATGGCAGGGCAGAATATAGCCAGGCTGGAAGAGATAGAGAGAGAGTAGGTGGAGTCAGGGAGACACCACGTAGCTGCAGAAGATGACAGACACCTGACCCTTAGTAAACCACAGCCTTGTGCCAATACACAGGTTAATAGAAATGGGTTAACTTAAGATATAAGAGCTAGCTAGAAATACAGTTGAGCCATTGGTCAAACAGTGTTGTAGTTAATATAGCTTCTGTGCCATTATTTCGGGCCTGGGCAGCCGGGAAACGAATGAGCAGTCTCCGTGTACATGGGAGGAGAATCTATGTCCTTGCCTCTCTGGCATCCTTCATCTGCAGAGCCGGAAGTGTGGCATCTTGCAGCAGTGGTGATGCCATTTTCTTCCCCTGTGGCAAAACCTCCCTTTGCAGCCATCCTGTAATAATAGACACTTTGTGGCTCCATTTAGGATCCACTTTACTAATCCAGGATAATCTCTTCATTGTGACTTCCTTAATTTCCTCACTCCTGCCCACTTCCTGCGAGGCCACATTTACAGGTTCCAGGGATCAGGCCCTGAACATCCTTAGAGTCATGTGGCCTCCATCTTCTTCCCCAGGGCCTTTGACACCCAGGAAGGTAGGTTTCTCTTCAGCCTTGCCCTTTCCCCAGATCCCTCATGATCCTAGGGGTGCCTGGGAGACTGTCCACACTAATAGTCTTCTTCTGAAGGGCTGAGAGCCCAGGGGCTCTGAGGGTGGGAGCCTTGTTTCTACTGTGATCCTCCCACCAGCTCCACCATGTCCT